TCGTGCCATGCAAGCCACCACAAAATGACAAACTGACAGACAAGGTGTGCTTGTTCTAAGCCAAGTGCGGCAGTTACAGAATTTCTTGTCAACATGCAAAAGGGTGGTGTCTAGCCTGTCAATCAGGTTGCAGCTTGATGACCTCATTTGGAGGCATAAAGGAGATAAATAGCTCACTGGAGGACAGATACACTCTCCTTGCAAAACATTCCTCTTGACAAGCCACTTGGAGCTATGCTGACTGAGCCAGGGCCCTGGAGCTGGAAGAGCTACTTGGAGACCCCTGCCAGCACTGAGGTACTTCCACCGCCACTGGATCCACAAGACTTTCCACCCACTGACCTATGATCTTTCTTCCTGCATTTGACATCATTTTGTGTGCTGCCTGATGGGATTTATGGACTTAACCTCGTCGGGGCAGGGATGTTTTCTTAATGTACAATTTCTCTTTTATATAAAACTCTTTCTTATACACACGAGTGTCTCTGAATTTGTTTCTCTAGTCCACCCAGACTAACACAGCAAGGTAATTTCAATAGCTTCATATGCGTGTGAAAGTTGAATGATAAATAAGGACTAGCATAGAAAAGTTGATACATCTGACTGGTGGTGTGGGTGAAGAACCTTGAGCATCCCACAGACTGCTAGAAGAACAAACACATCTGTCTTGGAAGGAGTATAACCAGAATGCTTTTTAGAAGTGAGGGTGGCAAGACGTGCCTCACATGCTCTGGACATGTCAGGAGAGACAAGTCTCTTGAAAAGAACATCACACTTGGAAAAGGAGAAGGTCTCCCAAAAAGAGGAAGACCACCCAGGTGCTGGATTGACACCGTGGCTGCAACTACGGGTGCGAGTACGACAACTATTGTGAAGCTGGTACATGACGGACAGTGTTTCGTTCTGTTGCCACTATGAGTCAAAACCAGCTTGATAGCATCTAACAACAACTACTACTTAACACTGTGCTTCATACCCTAGCTTGGCAGGGATTCCCTAGGCTTAGGGAATACAGTCTGACATTATGGTACTTAAAATTTGATTTCACCAGGCAAACAAACATTTGAATTCTATTCATTTGTTTTATCTATCAGATGAAAGCACAAACACAGAGAAATAGCCCCGTGTCCAATAAATGGCTGAAAAAGGATTCAAACCCAAGGACTTCTTAGTAGTTGAGAACATTATCTTTTAATGGAGTGGTTCTCAACTGGGAAAACCTCTCCCTTCCAGGGTACATCTGGCAATAGCCGCATACCTTTTTGTTCTCACAACTGGAGGCTACCAGTGACTGGTGGGTAGAGGGCAGGGGGGCTGATAAACACCCTGCAATGCACAGAGAAAAATATTACCTGGCCCAAAATGTCAATAACATCCAGGTTGAGAAACTAGTTCTTTGGTTTTTGTTTTTCAATGAAGGAAAACATTTAAGACCAAGATCACCCAGACAAGGGAGACCATTAGTGGGAAGTCAGGTCGTAATGGCATCCAAGGTTTGCAGAGACATAAACAGTACCTGGAAGTACAAAGGAAACTGTCAGAAAAGCATGATTGGTGGCAGATCAATACATCAGTTACCGGTGGGACTGAAGAAACAGGCATGGCCTCGTGACTCAGGCACATACAAAATGCTACACAGAAACGCTTACAAGATTGGTCTAAGGCCTTCCAACCAAAGCAGTCAGGATGTAACTCGTGACCACGCCCCCATAACACTCTGATTTCCATTAAGGGCACAACCAGGCAAACACCCTAAGGACTATGCCACTTCTTCCTAGACTGGTGAGGAGAGTCACAGACATCCACTTTCAAATATTCTGTCTCCCTGACAACAAAGATATTCATGGTTAATGGTCAGAAGGAATTCAAGGGAGGCTGAATTTATATGTAGGCTCATCCACAGATTGGGACTTCCACTGTGAACCATAGCCTTCCACACACTCAATGCCCAGAATTTAAGCTCTAATGCACAACTTAGCTGAGAAAACATTTGGCCATCGATGGTGCAGGAGAAAGGAGGGTGTTTGACATGGTGAGCTGTTGGAAACTGCTGACATGTGATGGAAATATGATGGCTTCCTCTCTGGGTTGGACTTTGCTTATGGGGACAGATGACCAAATTCCAACTGGAAATAAAGATTCTTCCCCTTCCTTCAGTCCTCCCTCCCAGCCCAGCTCTGATAACCACTGATGACCTGTCGCCTCAATCCATTGGCCTAATTGTTTGCACGGTGGGATTCTTAGCATCCATCTGTGGAAGGGCCTGCTTTCCAAAGGATGGGGGCCATCTTCCTTTCATTGCCTCCTTTCAAGGTCTAGAGTTCTCAGCACACAGCTCTGTCACCATCCTGCTGACATTGCTTGCTCGCTACTTCTTCTGGGGAATGCTCTGAGCAGTGGACTCATTTCCTGAACTCCCGTTGCCTCTTGCATCATTCTATACACAGGACCACGTTGTCTAGCAAAACAGGGAGCATTTTACCTCCCATAATATATTAATTATATTTTCTTTCTTTGGTGCCCTTCCTTCCTACCTACTTACCCACCTACCATCCTACTTCTACCTAGTCTCCCATCTCTTCCCTGCCCCCTAACTAGCCCAACAGTTCTGGCTAGCACTTCCAGACGATGGGGTCTAGCAGTAGAGACTGGGTACCATCCTTGTCTGTCTTCTTCCTTCATTAAGAGTCACGTTAGCTACTGTGTTAGAGCTTCAATTCTGAGTACCCTGGTTTGCAATAGGGTATGCATGGCAGTGACAGCCCACAGTCCGTTTGCAGAATCCCCACCGAAAGCAAGCCTCCACTGAATGCTTTCTGCTCATTAAACAAGGATGTTCATCATCCTACCTTCAGGCAGAATGCCTTGGAGAGTGGGCTGACTCCACCCCTCTCTGGCCAGCCCAGGGAGGGGCAGTCTCTCTCTTAGGGGCTTGCCTAGATGTGTCCTTGATGGAGGTCACAGCACTGGGGATGGTACAGAGGGTCACATAGTCAGGAGTCAGGGCCTATCAATTTGGCCCGGTCTGGTCAGAAGGCCCTGGACCAACCTTGCAAGCCCTTCGATCTAGCAATGTGTGTGTGTCCCAATCAGGGTCTTAACCCTGCCTCTGTAGTCCCACCTGTAGCTGTGATGGAACTGCGATGTTTTAATCGGTCACCGGTCATGCTTTTGTGACAGTTTCCTCTATAAAACTTGGTAGCTCAACAAACCCATGGGCACCATCTCAACCTCGTGTTGGTAGCCTCCCTCAACCGGGTGATGTGTCTGTATCTTAGTGTTGTCTTTGTCTCTTTTAAGACTTAACAAATGTTCTCTGTAAATGATATTTTTGAAGCAGAATTTCCCTCCTTCCCTTGCACTCCCATCTTCTTGAGTGGTTTCTCTTCTTTGTCCTTTTTCAACTGCCCCTCTTCCAAAAAGAGACCACACAAGTGGTCAGAAAAGTATCTTTCAAGATGTGATGTGAGAGGAGCAATGTATACTTTGGAAGTAAAAAGAGGCAATTGTGAATAGACAACTCCAGCTCTGGCGCCCAATGGGAGACAAGAGAGCCACCCTTCCTTCCACGGGCAGTTAGGCCCAGACCCAGGACAAGGAAGCTCAGGGGACCTTTGAGCTCACTTCCTCGTGGGCCTGGAGCACTGTGTGTCATAGTTGTCATACCCAGATAGACAGTAGTAATCTGCTTCATCCTCTGGCTGCAGTGCCGAGATGGTCAGCCAGGCGGTGTTGGAAGAGCTATCCATGGAGCCGGAGAAGCGAGCTGGAATCCCAGAGGGTCTTTGGTTATATTTGTAGATCACATTGATGGGAGCACTTCCTGGGTGCTGCTGGTACCAGTATACATAATTGTTCTCAATGTTGCCGCTGCTTCGGATGCATGAGATCCTGACCTCCTGCCCCGGAGTCCCCTTCACAGAGTGGGGCTGTGTGAACATGACCTCAGCCCAAGATCCTGTAACAAGGGAAGGACACAGAGCTCAGTGAGTACAGACCAGGCCCCCAGGCCCAAGAAAGGAAAAACCCATCATCCCAAGTAACATGTAGGCACCCTCCCAGAATTCCCTGCCAGCACCCACCTGTGTAGTGAGTCAGGAGGATGAGGATGAATGGAGTCCAGGCCATGATGGAGATGCCCCCCGTTTCTGCTTCCTGAGCCCTAAGCCCAGTTCTGAGCCCAACAACTCTTCTTATCTGGCACCATGGCCTTCAGAGTGGGAGGGCCCCATGCAAATCTTCTCTTTCCTGAGGTTGTCCAAGACCCACCTTCAGCCTCAGTCTGTCTTCCAACTGAGGGGAGCCAGACGGAAGCGGTGCTTGGGGCTGAGTCAGTAGAACAGCTCTGGGCTAGGGCGGGGCTGTGTGGAGGGTTTCACAGCTGAGGAGCTGGAGAACACTGGGCCCGTGTGTGACCACAGCACCCTCTGGTGGACGTAGGAGACGCGTTAATTATGGAACGTGCCGGAGCAACTGAATCCTCCTCAGCTCTCATCCCTCATCCTTCTAGCCAAATGCCCAGTGTTCCCAGCTTAGCAAAGGACACACACTCTACATTTAACCCTTGGTGTCTGTCTGGGTGGCTCGAGGACTATTCTGGTCAAGATCTTCTGGGTGACTTTGCACTTTAGGGAGGGGATGAGTGCCACTGGGATAATGGGCTCTGAGAGAAGATGGGGGGGG